TGCAACATAGGGAGTTTGTTTTAGGTTTTTTCCGGTCTTCGAGGTTTTGGAACTGGCATAATAAACATTATATTATAACTCTGTGGCGGTGAGTTTACGTGTTACACTGTCAGCACTGTATCGTCCATAGGTCGAAATTCAGCAGTTAAAGGTACTAGCTGATTTTATCGCATCATGATCGTTCGTCTAAGTACAAATCCAGAAGCATTTTCTGTTCTGAAGTGCTGGATTTGTGTTCTTTTCGCACAGAGAGCGCAGTACATTGAAAGACGGACGCTTATCCAACAGGAGGATCAAAACAATGTCGGTGAGCTGTGGACGGAAAATTCAAAGAAATAAAAACAATTAAGAACACTGAAGTTTGAATGTACGCCCCGGAAACTCTCTTTCATCACGTGGCTGTGACGAACTGTCCTCGGATCGTGTGCAAAATCCTAACAAGAGCACGCATAGGGCGCGTGTGTTATTGGGTTGACGTGCGTGTCACGGTTGTTTGAAGTTTGCTCAGTCGGCCCATGAATGGCATCGAGATTTGCCTCTCGAAACAGGTCTACAAGCCCGGAGAAACAATTTACGGGTATATTATGCACCTTTTCATTGTTAGAGCTGTTTTTATGCGAATTATTTCTCCAACTGAAATCGAATCGTTGTCTATACAAATCGAATGCAGTCTTTCATGTAAGGTCATTTGCAGCCAGTGTCTTTTCTTTCATATAGACAGGTCCCTGAGCATTAATATCAACAAAGAATTTAGTCAGCCGCCAGTCGAAATTTTCTCATGGACTTGTATGCTACAATTTTGAAGATCTCATCTTTTTTTAATTAGCGTCCCTTAATGTTGGGTTCTTCGTATTCCCCTTCCACCTTCCTTTGAAGAGCGATTCAATAAGTAAGATTCCGTTAAAACTGCATTTCTCCAGGTAGTATTGGGCTATCTAGCTCAGCCGCGGCTGTTGGATCTTATCGGCTGACCGTCAACTATCAGGCCTCTGCTTTTGCCTCCAGGGGACCACAACGGCTCTTATACTGTCACTCAAACTTTTATGTTTTCTCGTTGCCCATATGTCCCTCTCAGGAAAAGAAATTTGAAAAATCCATTGCATTTTCCAGTCAAGGAAATGAAATTAATGTGGGTCTTTCACTTAAAAGCAAGGATCCTTGGTCGATTGTTCTCAAGGGCGGTCCTAAGTCAAATAATGGTCCCGAGAAAGAAACCGAAATCCCAGAGGCACCAGGAGAGGCCTCCGATTTATTTGTCAATATAGCCCTTGAGAGGAATCAACACGAACTTGGCGATCCGATAACTTTAGTATCTACTTCAAAAGCGACAAAATCGCTGCAGATCAATTCCACTAGTTTTAGGGTGAGTACTGCCGTTGAATTTGACCATCTATTTAAGCAAGATAAGTCCTTAGTGACCTTTATTCAAAATAATATCATTTCAAGTTCGAGAAATAACCTTTGGCAACCCCGTAAGGAAACATTTGTTTCCCATCCAAATGACAGCAGTCGTGGGTCGCTTCATTCCGTCTTATTGCCTTTTTTAAACATAAATAAGGTTCGAGGTAGTATTATGTTATATTGGATTCTAATCACCAGACTTTAAGTTCTTCACAGTTTTTTCCGCCCTGTAGACTCTCATTATACTCATTATACACCAACTCGACAGATTTTACTGTTAGCTCTTAAATCGATTTTTGTAAAAGGTCTATCTAATGCAGCTAGCTTTTGCCTTGTCACCGATTAGATGTGTCTAGTCATCAGGCAGAATATGTTTTTGAAATGTAGTATGTTAGCGGAGGCCTACTCTTTGTCCGAGATCATGATTTGTCAAGCTCTCACATAAGATGACCAACTAACGTAGAGACCGCGCTTCCTTGTCGTAGATTAAGATTGTTTTAATTGTGTCCTACACACTAATATCTTGAAAAACTAGGTGCTTCCTAGTTTAAAGCGTATGTAAGCCACAGGTCACGTAAGACCCCTCTTCTTTTTAAGCAGGAACTACGCTTCTTGCAGCGATAACCGGTTAGTAGTACGGTGAATTTTGGATAGTATGCTCTTGCAGCGGCCTTCGTTGACATGTTACTTAGGGTGCCATCTCCCATCATCACATTCGCTGGATCACATTTTCATGACTGTTCATGTTCTGGACTCAAAAAGTCAGCATTTATTTTCCCAGGTACCTTAAGCTCATTTATATTAAAGGTTTAATTGATTTATCATAGTGTTGAACAGCGCACTTGTTCAAACAGACGGAAAATTTTATTCGTTATTGAATAGTTTCGGTTTGTATAAGTGATTCATTGCATTGCCAAACCGTCTAGTACCACTGACCTCACAAATGCGGTAGCTCACTTTTTTTACAGTAGTAAATGAGCGTTCGCCGACCGCTAACGAGACTCAATTGTCCTCTCCGCCTTTTCTTTGGGCCTCATTTCTCGGGCCCTAACAGCAGCTGTGTGTGTGTCGTAGCCCATTGTTGGATCAGGAATCCCCGCCGGAA